CTCAGTGTACTTTCAGAGCTCCTGTATTTTGCTTCAGTTTCAGAACATCAAGAAAATTCTGATCTGGGGGGCCATTTACACGCAGTAAAAGGATCTCAGCAGCTCTTGGAGCAAACTTAGAATCCTAGGCTTACGCAGACATGGCTGGTCCCGTCCACACCAAAACCAGCTGACCCGAAGGTGCGGGCGGACACACCACTGGGCGGGCGTGCAGCATCCCCAGGGCGAGGTTTCACGACAGCTCTAAAAAGGTCACGTGTCTAGAAGGGGATTTGGGTCGAACATCTGTAAAGCCATGAGGTGTCCACTGCAGAGAACTAGCGGACGTGAGTTTCCTGCACCCCAACCTTCCATTCCTTTACCTGTTCATACAACCCCAAAGGTCCACCCCTGAAGAGCGTTACGACTCGCTTAAGAACTTCACGGTCTCCTCTGTGAACGGACTTCTCGCTTTTTTCCTTCTCCTTTCCCTCTGGCCGGAGCTGGGCGAGAACTTTTTACAGAGCAAGGAGAAAGATGCGGGGAGACAGGAAGTGCAACAGTCCCCACTAATTTATTTAAACGTGTAGACAGAAATGTCTTCCCCCGGGGGCTTAAAGCCAGGCTCCATAACCCCGAGCACAGGAGCGATGCTGGAATCAAAGACCCCGAAGATTCCTGTAGCGCCCTCCTGTCTCCTCCAGGGTGACCGCTGTCGTCAGTCGCACGTGTGGACTGGAGATCATGATACCCACAGAAATGGGGCAAGGAGGCGGGATGTTTTAGATCAGTCCCATGCAGCACACATCCTTCTGCAACCTGGCTTTCTCCTCACCCAGAATCGCGCTTTGGAATCTCCCCCTCCATCCCCATTTAGCCGCTGTCCAATAACCAGGAGCTGAGACATGGTGCCAGTTCCATTTTCTGGCCCTCGTTCAATGACATGGCCACGTGTCCAAGCTTTCACTATCAGAAACGGCGCAGCAGCGAACAACAAGCCTCCCGGGTGTGCACGCATTTTTTCAGGACCGGCCACAGAACACGTGTGTTTCAAATGTCCCGCGGCCCTCAGCGTGGCGACTGACACACACAGGGCCACCTCCCCGCATCACCGCTGACACGCTCCTGGTTATCCACGTCCGACTCCAGGCGAGGCTCAGGCAGAACACTGGGAAACGTGCCTTACAATCTGTGTTCTCTTGAATCCTGCTAAACCCGAACTCTTTCCTTACGTTTCTGGCCTTTTGGACTTGTTTTTCGGCAAAGTGCCTGCTGTACTCTGTGTCCCTCTTTTAACTGGAACGTTTATCTTTTTTTTCTTTACGAGTTCTTTATGTCTTCTGGATGTAGACTCCCTCATCTGTCCTACGTTTGGTAAACACCTTCTCTCCAGCCTACAGTCTGAATTTTCAAGGGGGATGTCTAACCCTCCACACCAGAAAGCACAAAACCCAGTCTTCCGTTGTATTGTTGTTGAAAAGCCGGGGAGGGGACAGGACAGGACACACCTGAAAGCTGAAATGCCATCCTCCCTCCCTTTCTACACCTTAATACCCTTTGTGTTCATGTGCTGGGGTCTCTGAGAATGGGCAAGATTTGGCTTGCCTTGTTCAGGGCTCTGCAGGGCACTTCTTGAGGTGGGCATAGGAGCACCCTGCCAAAAGAGGGGACCAGAATGAAGGGCTGGACTGGACACAGCTCAACGGGGCCCTTCCTGTCCCCTCCACACACCACACACTTCGCTTCTCAAGGTGGGTACCTGGGCCGCTGCATCAGGACCCAGCTCTGTGCAGGTTCCTCCTGAGCAGAGTCGGAAGCTCAGACCCAATGGGGAACCCCAGGGTCCAGCTGTGCTGACGGTCAAAGCCAAGATGAATGGACGCACCCTGCCTGGGTCCCACTGCCAACAAACCAAGGGTAAAAGGCCATTTTCCAGGAAGCTGGGAAAGGTGGGCAGGGCCTGGGTATCAAGTCACACTTGCCTGTGATAACAGTATAGAGATTATGTGGGAAACAGTTCTTACCATTCACGCTGACGTATTTACAAAACATTAAAAGTTATGTTTAATTACAAATAATTAAAAAATTAAAGCTGTCTGGGACCCATAAAGTGGGTGCCAGAGAAATGAACCAGAATTCACAGAACGTGGTAACTGCTGACATCGGGTGAAAAATACATAGGGGTTCACTGTCATAGTCTAACTGTATGTGTGTTTGAAATTTCCTATTGTAAAAGGCTCATGGAAAAATATGGTAGAAGTTCTGGCCATCCAGACACTGGACCAAGACTTGGTGACTTTTGTTCCTTGAGGAAACGCTGTCTAGTCTGAAAGGCACGCGGAGCCCGCCCCGCCCCGCCCCTGGGGGAGGTCTGACACCATTTCCCATAAGATCATAACCGCTGGGAGTCCTCATCCTCCGCGAATGTGCTCTACTGTTGATTCCACTGGCGACAGTCACACATTTGTATCAATTTCACATAATTTGTGTCCTTTATTTTTAAGTCATGTCAAATTTATCCAAGAATTGAAAGACTCATGCATGAAACTCCCCTCTGCTCGTTCATTATGCAGAGTCACTAACTTTTCACATTTCACCCCGGGTGCTTCATCATTCTCATTGTCTTTTTGTTTTGTTTTTTTTTATTCTAAACTATCTGAGAGTAGGTTGCCAACACTCATCCCTTAGCATCAAGTGTACACTCCCTAAGACTGAGCATGCTCTCTCCCATACGTAACCGCCACACAATTCACAAATTCAGGAAAGTGCACTTTGACAGCACTTTCAAATAATTTACCTCCACATTCCACTTTCATTCCAAAGACACGCACATCTGCGGGTTTCCACTCCAGTGCGGTCCTGACCAGGATCACATTCTGCCTTTACCTGCCACGCCCTCTAGTCCCCTTTAAGCTGGATCCGTTTCTTGGCTGGTTTTGTCCTTCACAACGTTGACATTTTCCATTACAAGCCAGTTGTTTCATAGAATGTTCCTCCATTCGGGCTTAGTGGTTTCTGTCACCAGCAGACCCAGGTTCTGCATCCCCAGCTGGAATGTAAGTTACTGGAGGTCCCTGTCGGTAGGACAATGACCGCCTGCCCACACTGGTTATGTGAGCCTTGGTCACGGTTAGGTGACAACTGCTTTCTCCAGTCTGCAGTTGCTGTCCTCTTGCAGGTAAGGGCTCTGTGGGGAAATCCTCTGAACCACGAACATGTCCCGCTCCCCATAAACGTGGCCCGACATAACTACATCCAACATTCATTGAAAACTCTTGCCCAAATCAATCTGCACAGTTACTGTTGCAAAACATAATTTTTTTCCAAGTCACATCACTTTTATTGGCTGGCATTTTACTGTAAAAAAGTGCCCTCTCTTCACCCTCTTTTCCATTCATTTACATAACCTAGGGGGTTAAAGAGTATCACCCCAAAATTCATATGCACCCAGAAACCCCAATGTGACCTTACTGGAAAGTAGTTTTTACAGAAATAACAAGTTAAGGACCTCAGGATGAAACCACCTTGGATTTCAAGTGGGCTTAAATCCAATGACTGATGTTCTTATAAGACTTTCTGGTCAATGTCTTGTAATAATAACCTTTAATGGAAAAAAGTATGAAAACAAATATATGTATGTATATGCATGACTGGGACATTGTGCTGCACACCAGAAATTGACACACTGTAACTGACTGTACTCCAATAAAAAATAAAATTAAAAAATGTTCTAATTTAAAAATATTAAAAAAAAAAAAGAAGAGGAAGGGACACGGAGAGACATCTAGAGAAGAAGGGCAGGTGGAGATGCAGTCACAAGCCAAGGACTGCCAGGAGCCACCCAGAACTCAAAGAGGTAAGAAAAAGGATTCTCTCAGGGCCGTCGGAAGAGGCATGAACCGCTGACACCTTGACTCTGGACTTCCAGCACTATGAGGAAATCAGTCACACTCCCTGTGATGGCTACTATCAGTAAAACAGAAAATAACGAATGCTGACAGTATGGTAGCGACTCAGAAAATTAACCACAGTACGACCATGTGATCCAGCAATCCCATTTCTGGGGATATACCCAGAAGAATCAAAAGCGGGGACTTGAATGGATTCTCTGTCCACCCATGTTCGTAACAGCACTGTTCACAACTGTCAAATGGTGGGAACAACTCAAATGTCCACCAACAGGTGGAAAAAACAGAAAAACAAAATGTGGTTCGGTGTTTGTGTGTGCGTGTGTGAAATGGAGCATTATTCAGCCTTTAAAAAAAATTACTGGCACATATTACAATATGAATGAAGAAGCAGCCAGTCACAGAACAACGAAAGGATAAACACCATGAGTCCATTTCACTGAAGTGCCTACAGTAGTCAATTCATAGAGACAGAAAGGAGAGTGGGGACCTCCAGGGCTGGAAGGGGGAATGGGGGGTTGTTTCATGGAGACAAAGTTTCGGTTTGGGGAGGGTGAAGAACTTTCTGGAAATGGAGGGTGGTGACGGTGGCACAACATCGTGAAGATATTTAATGAGTTGCTAGTGAATTACACATTTCAATATAGTCTAAAAGGTCTATGTTATATATTTTATCTGAATTAAAAAAAGATCTGAGGTAACCGTCATCACTTTCTGGTTTCTCGTTTCTGTGTTTCTTTTTGCCAAAGAAGCAGGTGCACAGCCAGCCAGGCCCTCCACCTCTCATGCTCACTCAAGACAGGGTTCCCTCTCTCACCTTCTCCTCTTGCGACTTATTGTGGTCCTTAATTTTTCTTTCTTTTAAGCTGCTCTGGAAACATACCCAGTGGTATACAAAGGCTATGAGATGGTGACCTGGGGGCTGTTTCACTCTCAGGAAGAAAACTCTCAAATTCCAAACGTTATTTCCAAATGTTCTGTAAGAGCTGAAAACATAACATCCTGCAATAAAACGAAGTGTACACTTCACCGAATGTGACCCAGAGGTTGTGCCTAAAAGCATTCTCAGCCTGAGCTCCCCACCACCCCACTCCCTTCCTCTGCCCCTCTTACCATCCATCCGTGGGCCGCTCACTTTCCAGATGGAACTTGCACACCCAGACTCAGTTCCTCAGCGTCTCCCAAATCCTGCTCATCGTCCTTCCCAAGCCCGTTTGCTGCCAGGAGCCAAAATGTTGCGTGCATCCCTCCTCCAGACCCCTAAGGAATGACTGGACTTTTCCTCCTGCCTCAGTTTCCTCCCACGATGCTCCCCAACCAAGACCTTTCCTGGGAATTCCTCCAACAAATCCAAGACCAAACCCCCTGGGGAGAAGGGTATAGCTCAGTGCTAGAATGAGTGCCTAGCAAGCAGGAGGTCCTGGGTTCAATCCCCAGTACCTCCATTAAAAGTAAGTAAGTAAATGAACCTGATTACCTCTCCCCTCCAAAAAACAAAAAACTAAGCCCCCTGATTCTTCATGCACCTCCTATCTCGGGTGTAAACACTACTCTCTAACACCCACCCCACCCCCAGCTGCAAAGCCGGCTGCAGCGTGGACTCGCCCTTGCCCTGCTTGTCGCATCCCATCCTGATTCTCCTGGGAGCCATGATCCGCACACTCTGGCCTTCCCCTTTCCCCTTCGCTCTGGCTGCCTTGGGTTCTTACTGCCTCTTCCCAGTTCTGCCCTTTTCTTACAGCCCTCTCCTGCCTGCAAACACATTCCGCAAACATTCGCACACACATTCCACGGCCGCCCACGTGGCCGCTGCCGGAGGTGAGCGCGGAGGCCTCGCGAGGGCGGGCCGGGCGGGCCGCTGTCAGGCGTCATCACCGGCCGGCTCCCTCCTCCTGCCTTTGGCAAATCTTCGCTGATGCACGTCGGACTCAGTTCAGACCACGAGCGTGTCCTCAAATGTCACCGCCCGACTCGGCTCCCGCCCCCACAGGGACTTCCTTCCCCACGTGGGAAACTGCTTTTGCGTCCCCGCCCCACGCGCCCGGCCTAGTGCGGGGGGCCTGCCAGGGAAGCGGGCGGGTCTCCCCTGCCTCTCCTCTGCTGGGAGTCCTACAGTCCACGCTTGAAGCCTTCTTCCCGCGACGGTCGTTACCTTTCACCACCTGACGATCTCCCTAATTCGAGTGGGTGTCACTCGATCACCATTTCACGCGGTTTTCTCAGTTGCAAACAAGCCATGGTGTCGCCCCCCCAAACGCGCACGCGCACATATGTGCGTGGGCGCACGTGTTCACATAATCTTGTCTGGCCCCTTACATTCAAGTTCTTCAAAACGAACATTTCCCCCCAAATCAGCACTGCATGGTAGGCAAGTCCATAAGCTAAGGTCTGCGGCCTTGGTCATCACACGTCTGCCAAGCCCCTCTTGGGACAGGGCCCTCTGGTCCCAAAGAGTCGAGTCAATCCAGCTCGTTTTTGCCTTCAAACCTCCCACAGTCAACGAACAGAACTCTAGGCAAACAAGGAGAAGCGCTCCTCCTTGCCCAGGACTCCACCAGCTGCTCCCCAAGCAACAGGCCCAGACACACGGACTCTGGACAAGAGGAGTGCTGGCCGACAGCCCTTCCTGCAAGGAGGCACATGGCCTCTGTGTCCGCGGGCCACGGGAGCCACCCCGTCACCTGCGGCCACTGAAACGCAGCCAGTGCCGTGGAGGGACTGAAGCTTTCATTTCAGTTTAATTAATTTTAACCTGAGTAGTTACATGTGCCCCGCGGCTACTAAACGCCACAGCGCAAGTCTACAATGAGGATTTCTGTCATTTAACTGCACGGTGGGTTAACCCGCTCTCCAGGAGGGCGCTGCGGTGTGGAAACCATTAGGCTGGGAGCACTGCGGACTTGGGGGAAGCCCTCCCCCACTCGCCCAGGATTTGAAGCAGCAGCCACATTCTCCCCAGATAACATCTCAAAAGTGACAGAGTGCTTACTGAGGCTCATTCCAACGACAATTAAAGACACACACACCACATCCCACAGGAACGTAAGACTTTCTAGAGGACAAGCCACTTAGTCTAATGAGACTAAATTTTTCTGTAATTATTTCCTTCCCTTTGGCTTTTTTTTTTTTTTTTTTTTTGGTTCTTTCAGGGATAGAACTTGGGAGAGAGAAAAAAAAATGAAATCCCCCGACTGGTACAAAACAAACCAACACAATTCCTTATTTCTGAAAGGCCTTCCCTTCACTGCTCACCAGTTCCTCGGCCACTCTGTTAGTATGATTTTAAACAGATCGCACCCTAGACATGTTTTATGACGACTGTACATGCAGGCAGAGCTGGCCCGCCCTTATTTCCAACTTGGCGAGCTTCTCGGTGAAACTAAATAAATACATGTTAGAAGAAGGAGGCTGGTACAAACCCCAGGCAGTCGCAGCCGTAATTAGTGGGCCAGAGCTTCTCTTGTTGCTTAAGGTTTTACTTCAAAACTCAAGGAGCCCACACTACCCACTAAACTCCAAACACTTCTGTTAACAGCACTGTCGTCCAACAACACAAAACCGAAGAGCCCAACGAGTCACTGAGAAGCAATGTTTTCAAAACCAATTTTTGCCCAATTGTCCTTTCACGAAATTGCCACTGGCCATGCCAAATCCAGACTCAGCCAGTGCCGCTTCCTCTGCAAAGCGAAGCCCCCTGGTGACTTTGCTTTGACATCTTCCATACATGGTATTCATGGAATCCACCTGGCGGTCACCACAGGATCCCCAAAGAAGGAAATATCTTAATGATAACGTTCTTTACCAGGAATGGAGTCCCAACACAGCCCATAAGGAGCTCCCCGTGGGGCACAGCAGGGTGAAGGCAAAGCTTCACAGCCCAGCCCTTCTCCAGGTGGTGATCACAGGATGCTGCGCTGGTCCAGCTCCGGGTTCCCAGGGAATGGACCAGATAAACACCAAAAGGCCCCTGACATCAACGGACTTTTTAGAGATGTTTATAAACCTTGGATGGAGACAACACTTCGTAGCCCGCTTTCTTTTCCCTGACTACAACTTGGAATTACGTGATTAGAGCTCTCCCAGGGAAAAAGACTAACAGCACACCAATTTCCTGTGCTCCATCACACTGGCCTGGGTCCTGCAGATTAGGGAGGCCAAAGCCTTTCACACCCAGGTCCCATTTCAATGATAATGATAACCTTCCACATCCTGGCCTCCCATGGAATGCATTTTAAAGGCAGGCCACTTCTCAGGCTGAAAGCTGGCTTGAGACACCCCCCTTTAGGGGATTAATCTTCCATACCTGTCAAGCGGGCTGTTCCCCTAATCCTGCACTTCCAAGCCGTGGGTCTCAGAAAAAGATTCCAAAGGACCGAGCAGTGTTAAACCCGAACTCTGCCAGGCTTCAATGTCTCAGAGACTAAATCGAAGCTAAAGAGACAAATTCGTTCATGGGGAACAAGTAATTCACTGCAAATCACATCCTAAAAGAGACATACAGACACCAATGACCGAGGTACTTTGAGCAAACAACCAAAAACCATTTTAACAGTAAAACCAGAAATGTTATTTCACATTGCCTCCTAAGTCTGCAGATCACTCTCACCAAAAGCTCCTCCTGGTAAAGGCCCATTTTTAAACCCACGTTGCTTTTTTGCACGCAAAGTATTAAGCAGATTTCTTGTGGGTTTTCTAACTGTGACTTGCTTTAATAATCAAGACGGCCTCTCAGACGAGAGCCCCTCGGTCACCCATCACCATTTTTAAGAAGACTTTAACACAGCAGCTCACACTGAATGTCACACAGGGTCAGTCATGTTCACTGTCCAGAATGGCATGTTTTATCAAGTAGATGCGAGGGTTAAACTAGCACTTGCTCTGAACATTTTCAAATGTGTGCTGCTTTGCTTGGTACACAGTCATAATAAGAAAAACATGTGGCCTTACTATATAGCATATAAAAAAAGACTTTTCTTTTTCCACAGTCTTCTTATTCAAGATGTTTTCATTTATTTACTTCCCAATGAATCACTATCATTATTTATTACCACCATGACTCCAGGGATCCAGGCCAGAAATAAACATTGCACTATCAAAATCCGGGGAGGGAGGACCCGAAAACTCCCACTCCCAGCCTGTCCTACCTAGGCGGGGCACACGGTCCCACATCAGGTATTTGTCTCCTTAGAGAACAGAGCCTTCTATAAAAATGTAGAACTTACAAAACCTTTCAGAACAACCTCTCCATATTTTTACATAGCAATTTATGTTTTGTGTATAAAATACTCTCAAATTACAGAGATTCCTCTTTACAAGCAGAAAAGATGCCAAACACTCAAATCTCCTGTAATCATAAAGTTGTGTTCATATTTTTGAATATGATCATATTCTTCGAATTTCCAGCTAACCTAGCATTCCAGAAGGAAGAGAATTACAAACAGCTCCCCTCCTCCTTCCCCGATAGAGATTACTATTAGTTTACTGGAAAAAAGGGAAATTACCTCCACACAGGGTTCAAAAATTAACGAAAATGACACTGGATTGCTTTGTTCCTCTGAGAGTTCTTAAATTCGACGGGAAGGGAAGGCAGTGTTTAAACTACTCGGCCCAAAGTGCGAGCAAGTTTCCAGTTCTTGTTACAAGCTTGATTTAAGCAACAGACCCATCTTCCTCACATCGCCCACCTCCAACTCCTCCCGGGCAAATGCAACTAAAACCGCCCCCCTCCTCCCTTCCTCCCTTTGGTAGCGACGTTAAGAGTTGTGCAGGGCAATTAACCCCGGCGTGGCCACCACGCCAAAGCTGCGCAGCCGCACGTCGAGGCCTCAGGTTAAGCCCCCTCTCCCCCGACCCCCACAGCACAGCAAACGCAGCCCCTGACTCCAAAGGGGAGAGGCACTCTGGCGGGGGAGGGGTGCAGAAATCCACAAGGACATTGGCAGAACCCCACGGACTGACTCGGGAGGCGTGGTTTACTTACCGTTGCACCGCGCATCCTGAGCGGTTTACGCTTTAAGGGACAACGACGTAATTGCAAACCCCCTTCCCAAAGTAAGTAACCAGGGACGCCTGACGTAATCAACTCCTGCTTAAACCCAAACGACGCCCCCACCCCCACCCCCGACAGGAAAGGCTGCCCAGAATTCCTGAATTGGAGGATGGGTCCCTGGAGCGCGCAGTTAGCAGAATACCATCAGGGCTGAGCCCCCTTCCTGCGCCTAGTTCTCATCTGCCTGAAGAAATGGGGTGGGTGACACTGAGACCCACTTACGTGTAAGGGGTGCCTCACACATGGCTGGGACGTGAGGTCGACCCCCCTCAGCCTCTGAAC